CTGGTTTGAGTGCATTAGGCAATGAACTCATTCTACTAATTGTAATTAGCGTGAGGCCTTTAGCAGGTTATGGGGCTCCTCAAACTTCAGAGGGCTTTGATCTGCCTCCTCCTCCTAATAACCGTGCCTCTTGCTAACTGGTTTAGTGCGTTTTTATGCAACAAAAGCAACCACCGCCTACTCTTTAGAAAAAAGCTAGGCTAGGCTTTAGAAAAAGAATTCTCAGTTGTTTTCACTTGTCCTGCAAATCTTAGAATGTTCTTTCCCTATTCAGCCCTTTGGAGTTGCTAAGAAACTGCCATTTTGGAGGAAGGGTAATTAAATTTTGATTTTAATTTAAAGACAGAGCAGGCAAGGTTATCCGTGCTCCTTAAATGAATGGGGTGCCTGAGAGCAGGAGACTGGCTGTTCCCAGATCGGTACTGGGAACTCAGTGCCATTCCAGTCTCTTGGTGTCTGGCTGCCAGAGAGAGTGGCTTTGACATACTTCTTTGTGGCAAGCACTGCTTAACTTTTGGGGAGAAATACTCAGGAGACCAGCGTGTGCCAGGAAACCAGCGACTCTGGGCTCGATTAATTTATAGGTGTAATTTAAGAGCCCGGTTCTCCAGGATGCGTGTTTACTGAGCCTGTAGACATGAGGCCTCTCTGCTTGGTGGATGTTTTTATGGCCTTTGCTATGTCAGAGCAAGAGTTGTAGATCTCCTATGAGCAAACATATTACTGTGTCCAGAGGAGGACAGGCCTGTTATAAAATTTCAATGGTCAATTAACAAAGATTTATTCTTTGTCACTCAGGTATTTTCTCTTTCTCTCTCTCCCTCAATAATTACCTTTTGGAATGAGGCAGGCTGTGTTTTCCTCTTGCAGTCTTTAGTTGGGTTATGGCTCCCAGCTACAGAGCAGGGCTTGAGAGAGCCCATCTCAGTGTTTAAACTCTCAGCAGCTGGGCTTTCTGCTTCAGCGGAGTGGACACTTGAAGGAAGGGGTGAGGGGGGGTGGGTAGAGAGAGAACGCAGGAGGGAATGCAGTTTTTAAAGCACTTCAGTCTGTGTTTACTACGCGTTTATTTGGTGGAACCTCATTCCAGCAGTGCAGCCAACTGTCCCATCAGCAGCAGCCGCACCCTTTGGACTGCTTTCCAGTCTGCCTTCATTTGGAATTCACACAGGGACCTTTGAATTGCTATTTTAAAGTTTCTCATCCTGCTCCAGGTCCATGCACTGTACCTTTGCAACCTGCTGAACTCAGGAAAAATATACATATTGCAGTAAAGAAACAGAGGCAAGCTGCACGTCAGCCTGTTTTCCATGTATTAATTTCACTACTCCCTGCCTGGCCCCCACCCCCGAAAAAGAAAATCTGTTTTATATACATAATATCTGAGAGTTAAACATGTATAAGATAACCTTGCCTGAAATGGTAAATCCTTCCTGGTGGAGAAGATGTGATTTTCGTTATCACCTGGAAGAAGAGGAGAGCCAGCCCTGGGCTTCAGTCCACACCCAGAGATATAATTCACCGGCTAACTCTCTTTATATCAGCTTGCTGCGAAAAGCTGCCAGCCTGAGGGGTTTGGTCTGCCCGGGCCTGCTGGGGTTCCTGGTGGGGAGTCACACTGGCTGTTGGGGTCATGGTTCCCGCTGCCTCTGCCTCCTCCCCAAGTGGAGGGGCCCGGTGCTGCCCGGCCTGCGTCCTCATCAGCCGTCTGCACTCTGCTGTCACCTCACGTTTTCAGAAGTTAGAACAGGAGTCAGGGGCTGTCATCCACTTCCTGATCACCGTTCCTAAGATTCCGACGGACTCCGAGGGGAAACAGATCGCTGAAGGGCGGGAGAAGAGTGCGGGCTCGGTGGGCGGATGCTGGCATCCAGGGACCTTTTCCAAGACGTTCAGGCCTCCTTCTCCGACTTGTTTAAGGGCAGAGAATAAGGTTGCAAAGGAAATCAAAGCCTGATGTGGAGAAACGAAACATGAGACCTACTGACTTTTAAAAAACATTTTAAATAACATTCTCTAAGGTTTCATTTTATACTGAAGGCAGCTGTAATAAGTTTTGGAAGACAGTGTAAGGTTTCTATTACAGAGTGATCCTGCTTGCAGTTTTTGTACCAGAAGTGAGAAAAGGGCCGAGGGGGAGAGGGGATGGTTAAGAGGTTATTTTGTATAAGGTGAGAAAATTTGAAAAGATGAATTCAAGACTGTAAGCGTGTAACATTTGGAATGCTGTAATTTGCAAATGCAATAACATGAAGCCATTGCGAAGGTTGGTTTTGTGTGTGTGTGTGTGAGAGAAAATAGTCCAGATAGCAATGGAATAACTTAATAACTGGAGCTCAACAGCACTTTGACCACAAGTAAAACAAGACTGCGGCTCTGTAGTGGGCTTTGCCAGTGTTGCCCCAGCGACTACATTCCCCGTGGAAGGCTGGCGCGGGCCGGAGATGTCGGGCTGTATGAAAGCACTCATTGTTCGTGGGGCATCATTATTTGGTATTACATGCACGATGTTTGCTTGTGAAACGATTTATTAGAAACAAGTATGTTTAAGAAAGAGGACTTGGTTTGAAATTCAGTTGATCTGGCCTATGACATTTAAGACTTTATAGTACTTCTGTTTCTAAGAATAGATATTTAGGCCCACTGTAAGTATTTATCTTAAAACACACACACACCTACACATACATACATGTATACATGCACCCAAGAGCACAAAACTAGAAAACTAAGCCAGGGAATGAATTGATACCTAAAGTTGGTTTTTCTAATGGGAAGGAGTAAGTCTTCTTAATACTGGCTAGGTACAAAGGAGCAAGGTTTGTGAACTTGGCTGGCAGTACCCAGCCCAGAGGACAGCTTCACCTCATGCTGAGAAGTCTCTTGGTAGGAGGCCTGGAGAGGAGTGGGGAGAAGAAGAGCGTGTGTGTGGATTTAACTCCATCCTTCCCACGTGCATAAGCTGGTAGGGATGAAACCAGACCTTGGTCACTGCCAGCTGCTAACAGGTCCCTGTGGTCCTTGCTGCGGCCCATCCCCGGGCCAGCATATCGGACAGAGAACAAGGGTTTCATGTGATGTTTGGAGGGATCCATCTTTGAGATTTTCTGCCCATAAAAACTAGATGTCTTGACTTCTGGTTCTTTGCTCAGCCTATGTGGGTGATATTGGGGCAAATGAATGACTTCTTCAGGGCTCTGAAATCCGTATCTTTGTAATGTGAAAATGTCAGTGTCCATGAAGTGGTGGGAGATTCTGGAATGAAATGTGCTAAGGATAACCCCTAGCACTTTTTTCTTTGTTTTAACAAAGTGTTTTAAAGGCCAGCAAGAGGCTTATGCAATAAAATCAATTTACACATGGTCTGGCTCTTATCCAACCAATTCCACTCAATGGTATTTTCATCTGAAAGACCCAAATATAGGAAGGCGTAGGTATCTATTGTTCTAATTTGCTGTTTCCAGCCCCCTGTGGAGGGCTTCTCAGGTGCAGTGTGGAGACATCCATGGTGTGTTGAGCTGCTGGGATCTCCGCATTTCCCTCGGCTGTTTTTTAAGCTGGAGGCTAAAGTCAGGGTTACTCCCAGCTGGGGGAGGAAGATAAGGAGGAGGCTGGTAGGTGCAGGCCTGTGGGATGGAGTTGTATTTGTAAATGGACCCATGCTTGGGTTTTGTGTGGCTCTTGACAGAGCTGCCATGTAGGAAGGTTCCAGTAAGGTTGTAATCATAGTGCTTTTATAGGAACAAGATCCCACAACAGTCTGGTCTGTTACTTAAATTCTTTTAATTTTATTTATTTTATTTTATAAAAGAAATTGTAATAAATAAATTGTTGTAAGAACCCTAAACATGAGACTAAACACTGAACGTATTCCATCTTAACAAATTTTTTAGTGTCCAATACGTTCTTGCCGACTGTAGGCACAGTGTTGGACATCAGTTCTCTAGAACTTACTCATCTTGCACGACTGAACCTTGATGCCCATGATTGGCAACTCTCCGTTTCCTTCTCTGCCCCATCCCCTGGCAGCCACCATTCCACTCTTTGATTCTATGAATTTAGCCAATTCAGACACCTCACATAAGTAGAATCATGCAGTATTTGTCTTTCTGTAACTGTCCTATTTCACTTAGCATAATGCCTTCCACGTTGTCACATGTTGCAAGATTTCCTCCTTTTTAAAAGCTGAATGGTATTCCATTGTGTCTATAGACCATTTTTAATTTTTTCAATCCATCTGTCAATGGATATTGAGGTTGTTTCCATATCTTGGCTATTGTGAGTAGTGCTGTAATGAACATGCTAAGGAATGTGTAGTTGTGCATCTAGTAAATACCTGGCAGAGAGTAACACTTGGTATTTATCAAAGAAATGAATGGGTGAATAAAGAATAAATGGAGAAAATTCCATAATAAAGAGATGAACCCCCTTGTTAGTGTGGTCCGTTCATAACTTTGGGCTTCAGCTTTTAATTTAATTTTGTGAACAAGGATGGATGTCTTCGCGGAGCATCTTAGAAATGTATCGGGAGACACTGTGCCTGTAGGAGCCATTTTTGGTATTTAAGGTGACCTTAAAGTTAGTCTTGTCACTTGCCCATGACGTTAAGCTTGTGATCGAGGTGGGTCTTTGAGATTATCCCAAATGAAGTAAGTGAGGAGGCTCCTCTTCCCCTGCCACTTGTCTTTTAGATTGTCAAAGTGAAATCTTTCCCCTCACTCATTAGGTGGCCAAGGACAGAAAATATTAATAACTTGGATATAACACGTTCTTTTCCCAATTTTCCAAAATAAGTATTCTTTTCACAAGAGTCATGCTCCAGCGGTGTCCTCTGAAGTCGTTTTTGTTCTGCACTGGGCCGCGGTGTTGTTCCAAGGGAGGCAGCCAGCAGACTTGAGGCCTTCCTGGCTCGAGTTCACGGGCAGCCTTCTGGACAACACGACTTACTTATTGGACTCTCCTTCTCCCATCCCTGCCCCTCCTTTCTTCCCTCTCTCTGTCAGAGCGGTCGCCTCACCGGCCCATCCTCCAAGCTGGACTGCCGGCGAACGCCTCCACGGTGGTCGGAGGTGACGTGGAGTTCGTCTGCAAAGTTTACAGCGACGCCCAGCCCCACATCCAGTGGATCAAGCATGTCGAGAAGAATGGCAGTAAATACGGGCCCGACGGGCTGCCCTACCTCAAGGTTCTCAAGGTGAGGACTTTCTGAATCTGAACGTGCCCACACTGGGGTCTCCTTAGTGGGTTTGGCCACAGGTTCTTTGATTTCCTGTTGGATTTGAGAGAACAGGATTCTCTTTTTTTTTGGCTGGCCAATAGAGAATATGTTAGGGAATTAGCAGATGATTAGGCTTGCTGGTAACATTTCAGAAGGGAGCCCTGGAGTAGGGAGGAACTACTAAACTTGGAGACAGAATAGTGCAGCTTTTCATCAGCCCTGAGATCTTAGACACTGAGGCTTAGCTGCATGTCTATAAAAGTGGGGATCACGATATTATCTCCCCCATGGGGTGATTGTACAGAATAAATGGGATGGAGCAGATAGAAAGAGCTTTATAAGCTCAAGACATTGTACCAATGTTTATTGTTACTCTGATATTGTTTTCTAGTAATGTGATGTTAGGATCCAATTTTAGTAGCCATCTTTTAGAAACAATTTAGATTTTCTTTTTCAAAAAAACCCTTAAACTTTGAAATCCATTGACACGTGATTTCGACAGTAAGCTTTAGGAAATGTTTCTGCACCAGGGAAATGCTGGATGAGGAAAATATCTTTCCCCTTGTATTTTTTTCTCTGGTCCTTTGCAAACCCCCGTTGTGGTAGCATCAGCCGCTTTATTTTTTAGATCTAGCTTGTTCTTCAGGAGGGTGACATCTAGTTCGTAGCTCCCTGCCTGTTAATGTCTCCCGCATGTAGTTGCTCATGGAGAACATCCTTAAAGAGAACATTTTTTCCAAAAGAGACCCGTACGTGGCTCAACTAATGAGGTGTTCTCGCCGGTTGACAATACCAAGAACCAAAAAAGCTGAGGAAAGATGACACCCCCCCCCCTCCCTGGGAACTGCCGACCCATTCCCCTGGCCATGGATGACATTGGTCACTTTCACCCGTCTCTGCCAGGCCTTTCCCTTGTCCACCATGTGACTTGTTTTATTCTTTTGAGGCCCACAGCCCCTTAATGCCACTGTTCAGGTATAATGGAGGTTGTTTTCTTGTGGTGTGTTGGTGGTGGGACCGTAGACAGTGCTAAGTCCTTCCCGGTTGGCCGTTATATTGTTCTCCTGTGTCTGTTCTAGCACTCGGGGATAAATAGTTCCAATGCAGAAGTGCTGGCTCTGTTCAATGTGACTGAGGCGGACGCTGGGGAGTATATATGTAAGGTCTCCAATTATATAGGGCAGGCCAACCAGTCTGCCTGGCTCACTGTGCTGCCAAAACAGCAAGGTAACAACGTTTTTGTTTTTGTCTTTTTTTAAAAAAGAAAGCTGGATATAGAAGCTGAAAAGACTCGGTGCTTTGGGAGACTGCAGGCAGCTTACAGGCTAACTCTTGTGGCCTTGGTATATTTATGATAATCTTCCTTTGGTGATGCAGCTGGTTTAATGCCAGCAGCCATGGAAAAATGCCCACAATGTTCAAAGTGCTTGCTCTAATTTCTTCTAAAGATTACCCTCCTCCCCCACCCAGTTTTCAAGTTGTTCCTTCTGGTTTATCTTGTTTGGGCTGCGCTTTTCCCATCATTAGTGCACATCAGCATCATTTTTAACACACACCTACCTGCCTATTAAATTTGTGGCATTTGAATATCGGTAGAATTCATATTTCCTTCTACGCCAGGATTTTAGAGACATACTGGCATGATCCGATTTGTCCAACAAAGCATCATTTCTTTGGTTGCATACCTGATCCTCATGAGATGCTGGCCTTGACCTTGCTACCCCAAATTTGAGGGGAGTTCATCTTCCCGAATGAATGTATGACTGGATGCCATTGAAGGCAGAAAGTTGACTTTGTCCATCTGACTCACATTCAAATGTTTATATTAAGAAAGAAGAAAAAGCCCAGCTTTTTTGTTGTCAAGATCACACTTTCTTCCAATTTTTTTTTTTTCAATGCCATGTAAGGCAAGATGGTTTTGCAGAAGTAAAACTAGCCAGAGCTGGTCACCAAGACAACCTCCACTCTGGTGGGTTTCCGTGGGGCCAGGAGGCCGTGGGAGGTGTCCACCTGGGCTCTTCGACAGCATTCTGTTTCCCAACACAGCAATTCAGATGGATCCGTCCATTTCCCGAGGCAGGAGCCTGCAACCAACAGGACCAGATCTCAGCTTGGCCCTTTGGGCTCTATAGTTTTAGAAACTCCCCCTACCACCCCCCAATCCAAACCAAAGCACAGGCCAAAAGAATAGGCCTCTGTGGGTTGATTTTTCCATGCGTTTGATCGCGTGCATGTCTAGGTGGTGACGCCGGTGTGGTGACGGGCCTGTGGAGGTGAGCTGGTCAGTGTCGCTCAATGTCTCTTGGTTGTGGGCTTTGTGGATGGGCTGCAGTCGGAATCTCCCGGTGGCCAGCACCCCCTGGAGCCCCCCGGGGCGACGCCTCGTGGTTCCGTGGCCCCTTCCACAATCATTCCTGTGTCGTCTAGCCTGTTCTCTCACTTCCCTTGTTTTCTAGGCCGCCGGTGTTAACACCACGGACAAAGAGATTGAGGTTCTCTATATTCGGAATGTAACTTTTGAGGATGCGGGGGAGTATACGTGCTTGGCGGGTAATTCTATTGGGATATCCTTTCACTCTGCATGGTTGACAGTTCTGCCAGGTACATACTGCTCTTTCTCTCTGGGTTTTTTTCCCTTTTCTTGGTTGATTGCTATAAAATTAACACAGCTTCTGTTAGCAGAAATGGCCCCTTTTATCCTTGCATAAAGATAAAAAAAATGTTAAAAATTATCCTCCAGGGATAAGAAAATTGCCTTGGAAATTCACTCACAACGAGATCCCACACTCACATTTATGATCAAGTAAAATTTCACCCTTAAAACCTAAAGGGATCTTATATTTCTAGTGAGTCATTGAGCCAGTGTATACATTAGCCCATCCCCCTTTCTCTTAAGGAAGAAGTAGAAATTACTTTGTGAAATTCAAAGTAATTTTTTTTTCTCATTTCAAATTCCATTTTGCTAAAATCCCATGTGGTTTTATTACTTCCGTCCCACTTTGTATTTTTAATGAGATGTGAATAGAAGGGTGTCTACTGAGGTGCCCGGGGAGAAGTTCCTCTGAACGTTGGGTGCACAGAAGCAGTGTGTTACCTACCTCGGGGATCGGTGGCTTGTTGCATGTTGCGATAGAATGGACTCTTGTTTGCTTTTATTGCAAAGCATGCTCTTGCCATCTTGGGCTTGATGTTATTTCTGCCTTCCAGAGAAATAAACATCAGCAGAGCCCCATTGCCTAAACATTGCTGCTGTCTGAATATTTAACTGACATCTCTGTTCTAGTGAAACTGTTCTGTTAAACGCTGTCCTTTCTGATGCATCTGCCTCTTTGTCTTTGCCTTTGTGAAACCATGTAGACTGTGGTCTGCTAGCCTGTGATGTTCCACTCCAGTTATTAATTCCTTATTTTTAGTGTACAGTGTCTACCTGCATGCTTATTTTGTATCTAGTAAAAATAAATTGACCGTTTCATTTTGTGCTGTTGCTGCTGAGAGTTTTGACTATCTTGCAAGTATTTTTCTGAATAAAACGTATAAGCTTTAAATAATACCATTGCATCCATTTTTCCTTTTGTTGTGAATCTGCTCTGTGAACATTTGCTTTGAAACAATGAGATGCCCCTTATGTGGCGCTTGCTTTGACTTGCAGTACTGCATTCTGTGAGTGCCTCGCTGGCACTTCTTAACCGGTTTGCCTGACGGTACTAGCACATTAACTAAGAATGCAGTTTGAAGAAAAATACCATTTGGAAATACACTGCTTGTAGATTGATCGTTGAGGACTAAGGAGAGGACAGACATTGGAAGTTGATATAAGAATGTGCTAAATTACGCAATTATATGTAGACTCACATGCAGAACCATTTATATTTTTTCTTTAAGAAAGTTGTAGCAATGTATCAGTATAACCAGATACACAAAAATTTAAATGATTATTAAGGAATATTATAAACTTTATATATTGTGGACCTAATGATTTTATACTATAACCAGTTCAGTCTTATATATTTAATGCATTGATTTGTTTAACTGAATAACATGCTGGACTGTGTTAAGGAACTCACCGAAACTTTTTCGGACCGGCTTCCTAGATGAATATTTACGTCATGTGGAATTGTGTGCACCTGGGGTAAATCGTATTGAGTCTTCCTTTGGAAGAGCCTGCCCACATTAAGACTGAAGCCCTGTCACTGTCTCCTTAGAAACAAAAGTGGGCATTGTGGATATTTAAGAATTTTTCACTTGGTTTGTGTTCAGAGACCATCATGAAAGCTGGTTGTCCTCCCTGCCCGAATGTCTAATAGAAGGTGGCCTTGTGGCCTGACCTTTGTAACTTGGTGGCGGCCATTCACCAGACTGCAGATGCCCACCAAGGTTAGAGACAGTGATCACCTGGGCCCTCGTGGTAAAATGAGGAACCCTTGGTGAGTCATTTTCACTTGGGAGAAGCCCAGGGACGAGGCCCCCGCAGGCCATGGCCCGCGCCACTGTGCTGTGTTGAGTGTGTGGGACGCCCACCTTGCCTTGAGAATGGTCATCGCCTTTTGATGCCTTCAGTTATGCTGTGATGCGTCAGTGCGGTGCGCTAACGATGTGGCCTGCTTATCTCTTCCTCCCCCGTGACTGCAATCTAGCTCCCGTAAGAGAAAAGGAGATCACAGCTTCCCCAGACTACCTGGAGATAGCCATTTACTGCATAGGGGTCTTCTTAATCGCCTGTATGGTGGTCACAGTCATCCTGTGCCGAATGAAGACCACGGCGAAGAAGCCGGACTTCAGCAGCCAGCCAGCTGTGCACAAGCTGACCAAGCGCATCCCCCTGCGGAGACAGGTAACAGAAAGTAGATAAAGAGTTTAAAGAACTTTACTCCTGCCCCACGACCCAGCCAGCTCTCGGATCTCCTCCTCTGCTTTGATGCCATCTAATTCTTTGAGCTTCAACACGCGGGTGCGTCCGTCGTGCCACTTGGTGGTCGCCCAGTTAGTGTTTTGAGCTTGGAGAGCCTTATTGTGGTGCGTGGCTGCGATGAGCGGGGTCTAGTTCGAAGGGCAGGAAAGGCCAATAATGTGAGAATCAGAGTGCTAATTGGCGGGACTGAAAATCACTCTGGGGGCAATTTCCTCTGTGCATTTGACACGACTCAAGTATAGTGGCCTTTTCAAAGTGTGGGCCACGTATGTCTCCTGTGACTTAATACCTTTTTTGAGATAGGCATGAATTATTCTCATGGGGCTTATGCCACCAGTAAGAAAGAGACTCTAGTTCTCTTTGGCTTATTTTTAAAGTCAATATCAGAAACCTGTGTACGGGGGTGCATCCGACCTACTGCTTGATTTAAACTGGTGCACGATGTCTTTCTACACTGAATTTTGGCCTAATCCCTCTGCTCAAAATAGAATCATGTATCACGTTGTTAGTAGTTCACATGTGTGGCTGCTGATTCAGTGGTAGAATGATTTTTTATGGAACCAGCAACAGATTTTTTTTAAAACTTGAGCTTGGTCTGTGGTGGGTACTTTTTGCTTGTGTATGCCTCCTGATTGGTTTGGGAGATGGGGCAAGATAGAGCCTCCACCTCTGCCATAAACCAAAGCCCTGCAAAGGTGGGCAGGGCAGGAAATGCTTTGACTCTTTCCTGCTTGTTCATGAAGAGGTAAGAGAAAGGCACATGAGAATGCAAAGTGGTTATAAGAGCGTTTGGAACTTGGTTCCAATAAAGGCCTTCTTTTTGAAACAGCAAGTAAGATGGGTAACTCCCTGGCTCTATTTCAGTGTGTATTTTAGTAGAATTTATGAGGCACTTGTTAAAATTGCAGATTCCTTAGTCTCAGCCCCAGAGATTCTTGGATGGGGCCAGGAATCTGCATTTTAATCAAGTCCCCAGGTGATTCTAAAATGTACTTTGAGAAACTCTGGGTTAATCCCAGCCCTGCCTCTCCTGGGACTTCAGGTAGCAATGTCACCTTCTGGACAAGGTATTAGGAAGGATTAGGAACCAGTTGGTCAGCAGCAGGCTTGGCACAGGTCTGGCTGTTCTCAACCCAGTTCCAAACTCCTGGCTGAATGGATCCTTGTTAACTTCTTTGAAGCCATGTTCAAGCAGGTCTTTCTTTGTGTAGGCTGAGGATAGAATTTGGAATGTGTGTCAAATACAGGCAGATGACTAAATTGTGCTCAGAGCAAGGAAAGAAAGGGGCTTCTTGGGTCACTTCCGCCACCAAGAAAGCTGTCGTTACTTTGAGTGACACCAATGTCATTTTTGGGGCCAGGGAAGCAATGATGGGGCCAGTTGCCTGGCCAGTTTCTGGGAGAGTCCAGTCCTAAGATAACTCGTACATGGCTGCTGTGCACCATGATGGTGCTGTGGCCTTCAGAGGGGGTAGCCAGCCCAGCCTTCCCCTCCCACCTTACGAGTTACCCCCGGGCCATCCTTACAGCCACCATCTCGAGAATCTGACTTGGGGAGTTGACAAAAGGGAGTGGTGTTCCCATGTCTATTAGTTTTTTTTCTAATAGGGAAAAATGCTGTCTTGGGGCTGAAACCTGTAATTTGGTGTAGCTAGACCATGTCCCTTAATTATTTCATCATCTTTTTTCTGCAACTATTACAATGCTCTTCTTTTTACTTATTAATTTAAAGGAGGTAGATGCCCTTAAAGTCTCCTTAACTCAGCCATAGTCACTGTGTTTTCCTTTCTCTCTTTCCTTTCTCAACTGGTTTTTCCTCCTCATCCTTCCCCACCAAAGTTGGTCATATTTCTCAGCCTCCCTGTGTAAGCAGAGGGAGCAGTGGGCTTCCTTCCTCTTTTTCTTCCCGCTTTCATTTGATTCATCATAATTCACTAAGTGTTTGGGCTAAACCAGGTTGCATGTGAGACACGGCCTGTCGTGTTAGCTAGTGGCTTCACGGTTCTCTGGGCGCCTTTATTTGAAATGTCATTGCCTTGTGTTCAGTAGGGTCAAGGTGTATAAGAGAAGCAGAGGAAAGTGGGCAAATACCAGCACCCATAGAAAAATAAAGCTCTGGGAGATTAATTTCACTGGGGGAAGATTGACACACCTCCGCTCTTCATGTGGGTGCAGAATGGGGCGCATTATTGGGTCTTCACAGTGTTGCGTCAATAAGCACGGTCCCTTCGGTGGAGGAGATACCTGTTGGGTGTCTGGATAAAAGAGGGTTAAAAGCCCCAGAAAGGCCCACAGATTTGTTGATGACAGAGCAAATACCGCAGGGATGCCACACGTGCCTTCACCTGGAGACAGGTGAGCCTGTAATCAGATGTGTCAAGGATGGGTTGTTTCTAGGCATTTATGAGGCCACTTTTCTGTGCTCTGTGTTGGCCCAGCTCCCCTGTGACACAGGTAGCATTCAGTGTCCTCCTGGCCTGACCTGCGCCCCTCCCCCATTCCCCCCCCCATCTCACTCAACTCTCTCAATCCCTCATTGTTCTCTTTTTAGAACAAGAAAAGTTGGTTTTTTGCTCCTCTGATGAGTTTTTCCTTCTTGACATTTATTAATTTGCACTGGACTTACTAGGGTAAGAGAGACATTTCAGTTTGTTTTTCTTTTGAGCAAAAATATTTTTTTCCAGTACCAACGAAGAAATTTCTTGCAGTCATTTCCTAGTAACTGTGAATTTTTTGAGACTTTTTATGCACTTTGCTTGGAAGAAGGAGAAGCATCTTTTGGGTGAGGGGGGAAGTGGTGGCATGTGGCATCTCCCTGTTACCTTTGACAGGGGCTCATCCCATGTTTGGTGTCAAGGCTCAGACATCGTGCCGGGCACCTGCTCTCCTGTTCCCGCTCCTTTGGCGCTCAGCATTTTACATGAGACCAGCAGCGGCCAACCCGGGGGCATCTGTGTGAGCGTGTTGGTTCTTGCACGGGGTGCTGGACAGCCAGTGGCCGTTGAGAAGCAGTCTTTGCACATCATGAGTTAAGGGTGGGGACACCACTTTCTGTGTCTTCTTTCCACAGTGGGGGTGGTGAGGGCACAGGAAGGGGGTGCAGAGGTGTGGAGGATGTTCGTGTGGGAGACGCACAGCGTTGCTGGGCTTGTTGAACCGGGTTTTCAGTGGGCACATCAGGTTCTCTCTCGGGGCCCTGAAGCTTCCGTAAGGGAGGATGGAGATTTAACCGTCTCATGGTCGGCTCCGTCGGATGAATTCACCTCCCGTGCAGCTCGCACCCTCTCCCTCCACCTGCAGCGTCCCAGGGCTGCAGGATATTTTTTCTCAGACTTCAGTTTCACCCGCCCAGCTGCGGGTACAGGTAGACAGCAACCCAGATAAAAACCAAGGGCGCTCAAGGTCATCTTTTGTAACAATACCTTGGAGGCCAATGGCCTGTTCTTGGGGATCTTCAAGGAGGAAGATGAAGGGGGAGGAACTTGTGTGCCAGGAGCCAGTTCTCCACCGAGTATTAATAATCCTTAAACACTCCGAATTCCGTGAAGGGGACTTCTGCTTCTAGAAGCTCGTTTACCACCCGGCAGCTGAGCATTACGACGATCTTGGAATTTTCTGTCCTTGCTCAATCAGGTGGTCTAACGAAGCCTCCGTGGTTCCAGAAAACATTTGGGTGATCAGAGCGGTCATGGATGGCTGAACTGGAATCTGCCCTTTCACGTGGCTCCTCACCCCCCTGCCCCACACTCTCTTCCCCCCTCTCTCCCAGCCTCCGCAAGGCGCCACGGTTTGACTAAACTGACCTGGATTCTGGCTGATGCGATCTTCCAGGTAGAACCAGCCGGTGGGGACTGGCGTGTCATTGCTCTGATGGGTTTACTCGCAGAGTCCAGGGTGGGGGCTTCGGGGAGGCGGAGACTTGTTCAGGGAGAAAAGTGAGTGTCTGATAAACTGCCTCACCTCATTACCTAAATTTTGTTACAGAGGAAAAGACATGCAACCTTAGAAACCCCTTGAAGTGCTATCTTAGTCACCCAGCTTAACGTGGTGAAAACAACTTATTTGGCCATAGAGAGTGCTGGGCAAGGCCTGTATCATGACAAAAGTGTGTTAGCACCTGGGCCTCGAGTTCTGTTTGCCAAGGTGGTCACAGCCTAAGAGGCCGGGTTTCTTTGGCAGCCTGAGGTCCAGGGGTGTTTGTCAGTCCTGAGGTGAAAACACACAAATGTGAATCATCTCTCCCCTGTAGCATCCCTGCCCTGTTCGTGGTGAGGTCCCCTCGAGTTGTCAAATCTCTTTAGTGTAAAAGATAACACTATTTCTTGGTGGCCCTTTAAAAAGAAAAGAAAAAAACCACTTCCTCACTTAATCTCCCGTACTATGGAAATATACGGAAAGCACATTTAGTTAAAAGCTTGATTTATGGCACATGGTAAAGAGATTCCAGAAAGCGAGGAAGCTGAATTGGAGATCGTAAAAATACGTGCTTAGAAAAAAAAAAAAATGCCTGCCAAGATTTGGGAGTGGGAAAACAGTTTACTGGAGTGTTAGCATTGATCATAAGTAACTTATCACGAACAGTGGAATATTTTTGAATTATGATGATTAGAAAGGAAACTCCAAAACCGATGTTTCTAGGTAGAAATTGAAGATTATCTGAAGATATTATTGAAGAATATCTGATAGCGAAGATTATGATTTTGTGCAAAATAAAAAAAAGATGATAATCTACTAGTGCTGAAGGGAGTAGAAGGATATCAGAGGTGAGCAGTGAGAATTGCTGGAGGATCTGATTTGGAGAAGAGAAGCTCCAGTGGAACGTGGTGTCCCCTGGGGGAGCCTCCTGCCGGGGGCGGCGCCAGGCCCTCGACACAGCTTCGCGCTCAGAGTAGAAGGCAGTGGAGAGAAAGCCAGTCATATTTTACGGTCCCAGAGGGGATTTTAAAAGCATAGTAAAAATGCATGGAGGTAAAATTAAGACATACACATACCTCAGTAGACAGAGCAATCAAATTCTTATACTTTGGGCATTTTCTTACCTCCCCGCCCCACATACACTTTCTGTTTTTACAAAAGTATTTTCCGGATTCGTACATATAATCCGAATCTCTATACTTCATCTGAACCAAATTCCCATAAGTAGTCCTTTTTATAAACATGCTTTTTAAATTTTAGTAATAACGAAAGCAAAGTTTGTACTGGTTTTCCATTTTATTTATTTTTAGGTATTCTGTTTTAAAATCTGTCACATTCAACTCTTGTTGAGCACGGACGCTCTGTTTGGGGAAAGGTGTACATCTGTGTGAATTTTTGCCACGGGTTTGTGGATGTAGATTCCTTTTGGGTTGCAGGTTAGCTACAGAGCAGCTACCTTCAGACTGCATGTTCAATTTTCCCATTCTGAAGTAGCCCCTAAGCCACATTTGTCGTTAGGACTTTCTTACCCTCTGGCTTTCTTCCTGCTGTGACACTGTCCCCCCAGCTCCTGGATTCTTTATTTCTAGCTTGCTGGAACCTCAGCCCTGCCGGCTGTGAGCAGAGGGCCTCGTCTTCCAAATCAGCTGTGTCCCTCAGAGCTACATCCTCTTCTGCAGTCAGCCCTTATTGTCGCTGGGTTTTCTTTCTAGGTGCACACAGTTTGACATACAGTCATCCCTCACTATCCATGAGGGCTCCGTTCTGGGACCTCTGTGGATACTAAAAATGCATGGATGCTCTAGTCCCTTGTTTGTATATAGCAGTGTAGTATTTGCATATAGCCTACACACATCCTCCTGTGTGCTTTAAATCATCTCTAGCTTGTAATACCTAATACACTGTAAATGCTATGTAAATAGTTGTTACACTGTATTGCTTTTTATTTGTATTATTTTTATTGTTGTATTGTTATTTTTAATATTTTTGATCTCTAGTTGGTCCAGTTCGCGGATACAGAGCCCACAGATACAGAGGGCCGACTGTAGCTTATATACAGAACAGCCCTGGTTTCCAAATGCTCCAGGTTATCCAGAGAGAGGTGCCATTGTATGTTCTCTTGGATCTTGGTTGCAAATGATTCTAAAGACATTAAGAAAAATTGATGTGGTATTGGTAGCAAATACTAACCTGGCTCAGCACTGAGCATTTTGTTGGTTTTTTGCCTCACTTCATCCTTTCGTTAACTCTGTGCAGTTGGAACTGTTCCTGTCTCCTTTTTAACAGATGAGGAAAATCGGGCTTAGGAAAGTTAAGTGGCGTCCTGTGTTGAAACTGGGACGTGGACCCCGACAGTGTGACTGCACAGCCCCACGTTGGTGCGGTTGGTTGGGGTGCAGCCCACCCAATGTGGGGTCTCCTGTCATGCACGCTTACAGGGAGGGCAGCCCCAGGGTTGGCTGCTTGGCTGTGCATAGTCAAGGGGGCACCACACTGCAGGACGTGGAGGAGCCACAAAACCCAACCTGGTAGCAGAAGAAAGGGCCGAAAGCAACGATCTTATAATTTCTAACCTGTTATAGAAGTCAGTATATTTCAAGCAGATGCCCTTCGTTTTCTTTTCCCCTTGTTCATGCCTCAGTTCAGATCCTTATTATTCTAAAAAATATTTTCGTTAAGGAAAGTACTACTTCTAAAACATAAAAGGAATTCGTGTACATGGTAATGAAATCCAAATGGTCTAGAAAGTTCTGAAATAAAACATATTTTCTACCCCATCTCCCAACCCTTAATCTTTCTCCCCAAAGGTGACCACTGCTAAGTCTCTTATATATCCTTCCAGAAACTTTTAAAATTCCTGTGTTCTCACACCTCACTGTGGAAAGGCTGCCTTCCCCACATCCTATTCCGTAAGCTTCGCTGATGAGGGCAGTGATTTTCCGGGACAAGGTGCAGGAGCTCGGACCTGCCTCTGCGTGCTGGGCATTCCGGTCATCCGGAACCGCGGCCCCGGTGATTGCCCAGTCGGTTCCCCATCTTCACTGATTGCAGCACATCGTGCACCCCGACAGTGGAATTTGGGGACCTCTGGTGTCCAGCAATGAAAGGCTATGCTACCGGCCATGCAGAGGGTGTACTGGCTGCACGGTCTGCCAGGTCTTGGCCATTCGGGGCCTGTAGTATCTCATTGCTAGTCTGACTTTTACTAGCTTGGCTGGAGCTTCTAGCCCCTGATACAATGAGGGGCAATCTTTGCCGGTTCACGTGGAAGAACTTTCAGAAGACCTTTTTGTTCTTTGAAAACGTCATCCTCCTCCTGCATCCGTAGCACGTGACCCTGATGCAGAGTGAATTAGATAAACGGAAGAATCTGGGGAAGGTGGAGCAAACCTGCTCCTGAATCTTTCTGGGCCCCTTCTCTGGATGGAGAGCCAGATATTTATATGGACAGTGGAAGCTGGAAATCTTGATGTTCTCTGAAAATTCCCAGTTTCTGATGTGTCCTGCAGCCGAAGTCAGCTCACTACAGTGAGGTTGGACACCACGTGGATGTGAACTGTGGCTGGGGGGGGGGGTGGCGGGGCAGGGCGGTTTGGAGTTTTCTGTTTCACCCAGGTGGGGTTTCTGCCTCATCTGTGACATCCATGGGGAGCAGGATGGATCCCACGGGAGCTCCCTTTGCCTTCTTGTCCTTTCCTACCTGCTTCATCCATTTGCCTGTGCAACTTGGGTGTGAGGCGCTGAGCTCCAAAATTAACGCCCCCTCTTGCCAAAAGACTGCTCAGAAATGTACTCATGTACATTTTTAAAAACAATAGAAATTCCATATTAAAAATGGCCTACTTCTTGATTTTAATACTGAAAACAACTCCCTATTCCTAAGCTGATTGCCCTGCAATCCATTCTTGGGCATCTTCTTGAGTTTCCAACCTGCATTAAGGATAGTCTGGATTTACAAAGGAGAGACTCGAGGCTTTCTGAATGGGGACGTTCCCGGGGGATCACCGGCCCTCTGGTTCCCTGTGAGAAGGGTCCAGGACTCATCCTGTGGAAGTTCATCCCAACTGAATGTGTTCATCTGGACTTAGTCTTTGCCAGCTCGATTTAAAAGGTGTTTGTAAGTGCAGCTGGGGACTGCTGTCCACCAGTGCAGGGTACAGAAGCCAAGGTGGGCAGGTAGGCTGCTTGGATGGGCCATATTTAACCTCACATCCCAATTCCCTTGGGCCAAATCTTGTTCACAGTGTTCAAGCAGCCCGTGGTCAGACCAAGATTGGGTGGTAATCCTCACAAGTAGCTTTCAAGTGAGCTACATGAGTTTTTCTGTATAGAAACCAGTCAAGGGAAGATGATATATTTATGAAATAATCATTTTATCAGATGCAGACTGAAATGGATCAGGATAAATGAGAAAATGATGTGGTGGGAGAGGGGCTGTCCTGTATGATTACGAATAAAGGTATATTTTTCTTTCCGTTGACACTTTGACCCACGTGTCCAGCGCACTGGTTTCTGGAACTGAAGTTGACAGGCGGCAGCCCATTTTCACTGAATGGCCTGGCATCAATGTGTCTCCAGAAGGACTAGGGAGAAACCAAGTTGCCCCCAATGCCAGGATCTTGAGTTACCTTGAATAAAGGGACTGGAATGTCTTTCATATCCAAATCCTAGAGCCCTTCCCTCGAGATATTCTGCTTTACATTTCAAAAGACAGAGGAAATATGGAAGAACTGACTTCCTAAAAATTGTCATGAAATTTCATAAGCATGTGGCATTGACCCATGATCTGAGCAGGTCTAAGAGGAGATTGATTATCCGGGGAGCTCCAGTACAGGTTCAGGTATAAGTAAAAAGGCAATAATGAACGCAGAGCTGTCTGCATGTCCTCGGGGACTATTTGGAGGAATTAGGACAGAAAGAAGACATATTTTGATCAGACATGATATAAAAATTTTATTTGAAAACCTGACCTTAGTGACATCTAATTTGGATGAAATCTAGTACGGCATAGACGGGAGGACAGAAGAATCGGTATCCAGTGGTTTTTCATTTTGGTTCACGACTTTGGCCGGCCCCCATCCCCTTCCTTTCTAAGAATCGATATTCTGGCTGGGTTCGGGCTGACATCCGGCCTTCTCTGGTGGAGCCAGGATTACATCAGGGTCTTTGCATTTTGTATCCAGGTTTCTGCTGAGTCCAGCTCCTCCATGAACTCCAACACCCCACTGGTGAGGATAACAACACGCCTCTCCTCAACAGCGGACACCCCCATGCTGGCGGGGGTTTCTGAGTATGAGCTGCCAGAGGACCCAAAATGGGAGTTTCCAAGAGATAAGTGAGTACTTGTACTGGGCATTTCCCAGAAGGGAGACTCAGCTATAAATGGGGTTATCAGATTAACATTTTTTTCTATGACCTTTAACTGCAGAGATCTTGCTCTGATGATGTCAACATGAGTAAGATTATATTTCTAAATAACCAACTCCTGGAAAATAAGAGAATGGACTTTTTTTTAATAACTCCTGTAAAGCAGAGCTACTAAACCCTTTCTGGTCCCCAAAGAAGATGACATTGGTTGTCATTTTTTAAGTTTCTAGGCAATTCAAACCCAGTCAAATGGAATAAAAATAGAATTATCCAGTTTATAAAAACAGATCTGACATTCTGACTTTGGATTACTAGAACATGACTGTTCCATAGTTCATTTCTGTGTAGAAATTAGATGCAGAATATAAATTGCCTTAAGGATCTTTGCCCAGTGTTGCTGTTTTTAATGGTTATTAATGTCACGTTGGGCTGAAAAGCTTCAAATATGGTACCTCATATGTGATTTCTGTGGTCCATAATATTTTAATTATTGGATGGTACAGAGGTGTTATAATCAGTTGTTTGGTCAAAGCATGGCCACCTGGGGTTTGTTGATGGCCTTGTTGAGAGCTGTGTGTCTCATGGTCTGGCTTGAAGTCCACGTACTCTGGGCTCTGTTGGGCAGGATTCGAGTCCTGGCTCTGCCAGCCAGTGGCTGGGCAACGTTGAATGAATCGCCTGATTCTCTGAACTTCACTCGTATAAAACGAGTGTTGTGATACAGACCTCCCAGGACTGTGCATGATTCTTGGCTCATGCAAATTTCCTGTCCTATATTGGTAACTTGGGAGCTCTGAACTGCAAACCTCAGCAAGATCATTGTGCTGGGCACAGAGTCAGTGGTAGCCCTCGTCCTCTAGGCAGGGACCAACCCCCAGACCCACCTTCTGAAATAAAGTGCGACGGTCGTTGAGGGGCTGTCAGCTCACTTCTGGGGTACTTCTTGTAGTAATTAGAGTCTGAACAGCCTGAGAGTAATGGCAGGTGGAAATACCGACTACATTTCTGCACCAAATACACTGGAATAACCTTGACTGGCTTATACACAGCTGCCCTGTTTGTCTTGACATCTGCAGGAACTCCCTGGGATTATGTTAGGGAAGTCTTTAATGAACACTTCTTGTATACGTATATACAAATTTGGAAACACAAAGATAAGCTTTTCCAGAGACAAAATATGATGAGCTCAATTTAGAAGGGAGGGGTAGCTTTTGTGGCACTTGGGACTTTGAATCACCTGACTTCACATCAGTCTTATTTCCCAACAGCCAACGTAGAGACACTAATATGTACCGTAAGCTAGAATGGAGTAACTGTATAGACATCATTCAGTCAGAGTGATACTAGAAGTAATTTCCAGCTTACTTGTGTACGGTAGTGAAAAGACCATTCGTTCATTCACTCAGGACATGTTTATTGGACACTTACTGGTGAGACACCAGAGAAAACAAAAAGAATGTTTTCTTCCCCTATAGACTATGGAGAGAGAGCGGGGTGGTTCTTGTGAACCCCGCCAGCTCTCTAGTGTGTGTGATTATACAGGTGAGTTCATGTGCACATTCCTGTGTATATGTGATTGCATCAGGGAATTGTGATCATATTTTAAGAAATTGCAGTTTTAGGTTCACTTTTTGCCACCTGTGACAGACACCGCAGTCAACAGTGGGAGTCTGTGTGTGCCGACCTCTTAGCTCCCACCCCGGGGTACCCCGAGTGTGGAAAATCTGAGTGTTGAACATTTCGAAACAGCGTTTAGCACAAACGTAGGTGGAACAGATTTCCAATGAATGAAGGCTATTTAGAAGCAGTTTATTAGATCGGAGGCAGACTTATACAAAGAAAGGATTGTTATGCTTGTAGTAGCAGGGCAGTGGGACATAAATTAGCCATTTTTCCGATGCAAATGTTTATTTTCTGCCAAGATGTTAAATTTAATTTTGGTTCTGGTTAGAAACAAAATGACCTCAGCATAGCATGCACTGCCCCCGGTCTGTATGCTGAGCTTTTGGAAAGCGTTGTGTACTCACTGTAAATACTGTTTACTGATGGTAGCTCAGGACTTTGCTGTATTATGCTGAAGTTAAAAAACTATACTTACAAATATTCCAAAGCCTTCTCCATTCTGTTGATTTCTGGAATGTCTAAGGACGATATTTGGCTATGCGTATCATACACATAGAACTTCTATGCTTAGAAGTTTAATCTGTTGTGTTCACTTTGGATTTCCTTCATTGGTAATTGTATGTAGTCATAAGGACTTGTAAACTTATGTCAAAAAAACATTTCCCTAATTTATTTGAATTTTCTTTTTTCTCTAGTGAAAAAATAGAGATTCCTTGAAATGCTTTTAAGATTCACATCCTGTAACTTGGCAAGGAATGTGACCATAACATCCATCGGTATTTGAATAATAGTAATTTTAAAGTCCCTACTTTGCAGGGACAAAAAAAAAACAAGAACAGCCTTAACGTTTTTCTTTGAGCCATTCTAAATCACAAATATTTAATTGGCTCAAGATGAAAAGCTCGTCGTTGGCACTTAGGAAAGCTGACCACCTCACTAGCAAGGATACCTTCCATAAAGAAAATAAATCGAGAATACAAATGTGAAATTTAATAGCTGTTCCACTCGTAATTGACATTCTCTAAAACGTCACTAAGAAAATACTCGGGCGCGTGTGTACCCTGAGCCTCATTAGTTCCATATGATAAATATGCCATACTTTTGCAAGCCGCTGAAAGATTTTTATATTTAGTTCTGGAATTTCCCTCTCTGCACCCCTCACCAGATGCCATGTGCTAATCCCCTATTTACACATTTAGGCTGACGCTGGGCAAACCCCTGGGGGAAGGCTGCTTCGGGCAAGTGGTCATGGCAGAAGCGGTGGGGATCGACAAAGATAAGGCCAAGGAGGCGGTCACCGTGGCAGTGAAGATGTTGAAAGGTGAGTGGAGAGGCGGGAGGGGAGACAGTCTTATCAAGAATGTTCCTTTTGTGGCATGTGAACTCTATCACGCCAGGGGGTCAGAGAGCACATAGTTGACCTGGAGGTTGAGAAGTGTTCGGTATAAATCAGCATCTTGGACAGATGATTTATCTTGAGCTGTGTGTACTTATCAAAAAGAAAAGCCAGTTTTGTTAGAAAGCAGTCCCCCCCTGCACGGAGTTCTTCTTTCGCCCCTTCTAGATGGCCATGATTGTTCGTTTTCTCTCTGTGTTTATGTGCTTAGAAAATACTGACTCTCATAGGATTGGATTTCGATGGGGGTTAGGACGTGGGATGTGGGAGCCAAGGCCTAACCTGTAAGAAAAGGGAGATGAGCATTTTTGGAGGGGGCCCGGAGGCTTGGGGAGAAGAACACCTTCTCTTTTGTGTGAGGAGCAGAGTAAAAATGACACTGGTCTGGGAGAATCACTTGGAAGCTAAAAAGAAACTAACAGGATTGGGCTGATTCGGAGCCTCCTGGAACACGGGAACAATCGCCCTGAGATGGAAACGTCACGTCGCGCTCGGGGGAGTCTGAGCATTTCTGCATCAACCTTCCAACCCTGCTCCATGCCTGTGTCCTAGGAGCTTAAAGAACTTTTAACCATTAACTTATTCCTCCCACAGTATTCTTTTATGAGAAGAGTTACGGGGAACGGTCGCCTTATAAATCCTATTGTAGGGATCTCAGACAGGAGACCCCGGGCGGAGCGTTGCCCACGTTTCCGGGCAGGGAGGTCTGACCTCAGGATGTGGGCTCCCGCACGTGGGGGCCCTCCGGGGGTAGCCTTCTTCTGTCTCTCGTGGGTTCTCATGGGGTGATCATCATGTCCTTCCCTCGGGGGAAATAGCAGTCTGGAAACAGTCAAAAGGATGTTGATTTTTAAAGCTATTGATCTGAATGGCTCCCAAGGAAAACTAGGGTGTTTTGAGGTGCTCCCCACCTGGGGGCTTGATGCCAGGGAGGAGAACCGTGTTTTCTCACCTAAGGTGTCATGGCATCACCAGCAGAGGCAGTCCCTGGCTTTGTGTCTCTTTTGGCAGAACTTCTGGTTGGGGCTCCGAGTGACTTGGGTATTGCAGAAAGACAGGTCCGTGAGTTCTGTTTCTTCTGTCGTGCCAAGGCTGGCAGCCTTCCTTTTTAGGATGTAGAAGGACATTAGCCCCCGAGCCCTTGCGGCGTGTCCTTTTTTTATAGCCAGTGGATGGCTCAGAGCCTGGAGAGAGGGGGACATCCTGTGCCATGTGTCCACCAGTGTGGCTCCCTCCCCGCGTGTGGCGGGAGGCTTCCCTCTCCATCTACGCCAGCGTACACTTTGCACACGCAACCGTATCACTCTTCCTTTTGTGTGAAGCCAAAAAGCTCTTTGCCGCACGGTTCCTGTCCATGGCCCTGTTTCATCTTTTTTAAGTAAGCCAGGTTTTTCCATACCGAATTAGCTTGCAGGGGGCACGTGGGAAAGAGTCTTGCTACTTATTAGGAGCTCACTGTGAGCCCGTGTAGGTAGGGTCTGTGCCATTCCTGCTGGAAATTACAGAGCGGAGGTTTACGAAACTTTTTTTAGGATGGGAGTTGCACCCCCCTTTGAGAAGCCACTAGAAGTCGTGGCCTTACACCTGCTAAGAATACACGTGCATGCACACTATGGATACAGTTATGGGGTGCCCCCTGGATCCAGGCCTTCGCATGAGAGGCCTGGGTTCTAGACCTGTCTGGGCCTTTGTCCCTTCACTGATATAATGAGAGAGATGACTTGGGAAGTCTTTTCTAGTCCTAAGATTCAATTTCATGCTGTTTTAACTAAGTTTTGGACAGCTAACAGGGACAGCCGGTGAGTGCAAGGGTACAGACTGATTTGTGATGTACCTGATGTTCGTAGATGACGCCACGGAGAAAGACCTTTCTGATCTGGTGTCAGAGATGGAGATGATGAAGATGATTGGAAAACACAAAAATATCATAAATCTTCTTGGAGCCTGCACGCAGGATGGTGAGTAGGAAGAAAAAAATGCTTTTATCCAAATACTCCACCATTTAACGTTAGAATCATTTTGAAAACAGTTGGGCTTTTAGATCCTGCTCCCAGAGCCCCTCAAGTGCATGTTTAAAGATCTCTTTAAAATACCCTTAGGAAGATGTTCCCAGCCACGAACACAAAGGGGGCTCTGTGCCTGTACCTGGGGGACTGGCAAAAGGTGGGTGTCGGGCGACTTCGGATTTGAGGGCCTGGAGGGTCCTGTTATTTCTAGATCATAACCTGGAGGGCGTTTGGGGAAAGGCAGTCTCCTTGTGCTTTTGTTTTGGAAGTGCTAAGAGAAATTTCTCAAAATAAGATTCTGTGTTTTGGTTGAGATGCTCTTCCCTTAAAATGGGGATTGAGGAACTCACCTCTTGCTGTGGACAACAGATGGCTGAGCTCCCAAGAATAGCTTAAAAGAGGGGAAGGTGTTAGGAAGGGACACATTCTCTTCCTTAGTGGAGAGAGGCTGCAGCTTCTTCCATTGAATGTTTACTGATGCTTCGGGAATCAATTCGATGGTTGTTAATAAACTTGAAAATGCCTATCTTTGACTTCGCAGTTTCTCTTTTAGATCTATTCAGGAATCTGCAAACTTTTTTCTGCAAAGGGTGACCGTAGATATTTTAGACTTTTGTAGTCCTTATGGTTTTTGTTACAACGACTCATTCCTACCATCGTAGTGAGAAAGCAGCTCTAGAAGTGCAGAAATGAATGGGCCTGGCTGTGTGCCAATAAAATTTAATTACCCAAACAGGCAGTAGGCAGGATTTGGCCTGCAGGCTGTAGTTTGCCAACTCTCTAGTCTATACCATGGAGAAATTATTGCACGTGTGTACAAGGAAACATGTACAGGAATGTTTGCTACCTACTGTTTGTTATGGCCCAAACCTGGAAGCAAATGCCCGTGAGTACAGGGGAATGGATGAATAAAGTGTGGTGTATATAGGATACAGCTGTGAAAAGGAATGATCTAGACTTATTTTGTCAGCCTAATTGGGTTCCAAAAGGACAATGTATAGGGAGAAAATGTTGCAAAGCTCTACCTTTATTATTCATTTATGTCATTAAGAATAATATTTATTGATACACATATGTATGTGGATTAGTTAAAATGAACTGGAAGGATATACTGGAGGGAGCAAATTTTTGATAGCTGCTGCTCCCAAGAGGATAGGGAAGAACACTTCAGCTGTATCTTTGTGTATTTCTTAAAGCCTTTGAGGCTGTCAATCATTTTGGATAGATTAGGATGCAGGTACTCTGTTTTTATGTGTGCTTTTCTGTACGTTAAAACTTTTAAAAAACAACAACCGTGAAAAGCATTGGGTCATAATAACTAAAAACCCATTGCTGAGTCGAGGGCAGATCCCGGATTCTGTCTTAAGAGATGCTCTCCTCCCTCAACAGGACCGCTCTACGTCATAGTCGAGTATGCCTCGAAAGGCAACCTCCGAGAATACCTCCGAGCCCGGAGGCCACCCGGGATGGAGTACTCCTATGACATTAACCGTGTTCCCGAGGAGCAGATGACCTTCAAGGACTTGGTGTCATGCACCTACCAGCTGGCTAGAGGCATGGAGTACTTGGCTTCCCAAAAAGTGAGTTCTTCACATTCGACTTGGTTGGACAGAATCCAGTTAAAAATGTCTTTGAAGAAAACAGGCACTTTGGATGTGCTCATTTGCTAGATCAAGCCCTTGCATGTCTTGTATGACCTGGAAAATATTTACTGCATTATTCACATTCGGGTTTAATGAACTCTGTGAAGCCAGAGCAGCCTCATAAACCTGTAATAACACTGCAGAGATGTGCAGGAAAGATGTCTTTCCTTTGAGACAGGGCAAGGTTTGACTCTCTTGGGAATTCAGCTCTCCAGGTGGAGGATGGCTTGTTTGGAGGGTGTTCCCTTTAATTCTGATGATTTTTTTGGGGGAAGGGGCTTCATTTGTTTCATGATTATTCAGTTTTTAGACATAGACTTTAGGTTGTTGTGCTTATGGTTTCGAGTTTGATATGGCATTAAATAGTCCAAGGATAAAGATCAAACAAAGGTGTATTTGAGCACCAGTGAGTCCTGGGTATCTGAGTTTATTTTGATTCATTTGGCAGGTGACCCTCTGTGGTTAGAAGTTGGCCAGGTCCCCTGAGGTGAATTGCCTACATTCCAAGCATGCCACTCATGATGGAACTTTAAACATTTCAGTTATTCTGAAATGTTAGACAGGTGCCCAGATGTCCTTGGGGACATTTCAGATGACCCAAGAGACCCTTCCTTAGACCCACAGTCCAGGAGGAGAGCTGCAGAACTGCCTCCGTGGGCAGTGGTGGGCTGGGCTCCTACCTGTGGTGGAGCTTGTTCCAGCATCAGGAATCCCTCGGGTCCCTACAGAGGTGAGGTCCTTTGGTGGATGTGGACCCTCTGTCACCTGGGGGCCTGGGCTGCTTTGAAGGGTCACAAGCTCAAGTCTCCACAGAGGCCATGCCCGTCACGTGAGTGAGTGAGGCGGCCCATCAGATCCCTCAGAGATCCCAGGGATGGCTGTACCTCTGCCCTGCTGTCTGGGCATGTAGGAACATGGCCCAGAGCTACCACATGTTCTGGGTTGTTTATTTTTTTTTAATTTTTAAAAATTTTTATTCTTAAGAGAATCCAGAGTTTAAGATTTTTTCAAATTTTTTTCCCTGTGAAATTTCCCAATGTATAGGTTTTAGGAAAGTGATTAAAGCATAGTGTTGAGTTCTGTGATTATGTGTGTGTGCACAAATGGGCAGGGCAGTTTGCCAATCAAAAGTCTTTGGCATCCAGAAACAACCAGACAGCCCCAGAATGTGGGGCATTTGACAAGACACTGCTCTAAAGTGTCAGCATTGTGAAAGACAGAAACTGCTGGGGAGACAGTTCTAGATGAAAGGGGGCTGACCAGACAACTACTAAATGCAATGGCATGACCCTGGGCATGATGCTGTTGGGGGGAGGCGGGCAGCTCTTACAAAGCACATTCGTGAACACTTGGAATTTGAATATGGCTGTATGATATTCCCGATGATATTATGACACCAGTGTTGATTTGGGGGTGGTGGTAGTGGTATCGTGTTAAGGTAGGAGAGAAATGCCAAAGAATTGGGATGTGAAGCATCAGTGATACTTGCAACTCACTTTTAAATGGTTTAGTCATAAAAAATGTATATGGGGTGTGTGTGAGCGTACCTGTGTCTGTTTGTGTGTGGAGTGGGGTATGTGTGGGGAGAGAGGAGAGAGAAAGTGTACGTAGCAAATCTGGCCAAGGTGACCAACCATTGTACTGTCCCAGCTCTTCTGTAGCTGTGACAGTTCCTGGAGAGGACTGGGGCAGGCAGTCTGTCCGCAGCTGCAAGCATGGATCCTCTGGTCCTGGTCACTCCGTGCCGCCTCCCCCGTGTGCTGGGGGAAGTCGTCCTGCACCTGGCAGGGCGCTGCTACTGATGGCCGCGGGGTAGGAGTGCCGGCCTGGTCATTTTGCTCAGTTCTTCAGCACACATTCCCAGGGCAGTGGATGCCTCATGCCGTTGGTCAGGCTGTCCAGTGAGGGGGCCGGAATGGACATAGTCCTTAATCTCTTGGGGCAGAGACCATGGGCGACAGTAGGAGAGATTGACAGTAAATGTGGGGATGAAAATAAGTATGTAAAAGAAAAATCGAGAAACGTGCTGTGGAGGAAACAAACAGTGGGATGAGGCCCTGCTTCTTTGGGCCTTGAAGACCCAGGCGAGGACGCTGCCGTGGGGAGCCATCGACTGGGGGAATAATCAGGTCGGGTTGTGCTTTAAGGTGTCTCTTGCTGCTGCTTTCATGGCAGACAAGAAACCTGAGTTCCTGTGAAGGTGACAGTGGTCGGGGCTGAGCCGTGGGTACATGGGGCCAAAGACACTGAGAGAAGCCAATGGGTTGGTGTTTAATGCGTGTTGCCATCGGGATAGTTAATGGATCCATTAGGGATCCGGATCGTGATGTCCAGATTTCTAGCTCGAGGAACTGGGCGGTGGCGCAGCCTCCCAGGATGAAGGACGATTTGGAATCAGGGTGGGGCGGGGGGCATAGATGGTGAAAAATACACAGCTCATCTTGAACGTATCTGGGAGTCACTCAAGGGAACATGTCAACCACGAAACTACAAACTACAGCTCAGCTCCCAGGGGTGGGCCGAACACCTGGGAGCCGGCACAGGCGGTGGTTGTTTCAAGCCGTGGGAATGAACAAATCATCTGAGGAGAAGCTTAGAAGGGGGAAAATAGAAGCCCAAAGTCAAACCTCGAGAAAACTCAAATACAGAGATTGGCTAGTGTGCGGGAAAGAAATAGCAGTGGAGGCTGAGAAGGCACAGTCTGAGAGGGGAGAAAACCAGGATTTGGTTCCAAAGCCCCTTGCTGGAGGCCACCTGCAATTAAGGACCCAGAGTAGGTTTTAAACTAGTGGTAGATGAAGATTTTAAGAACGGCGCCCTTGGGAGGAGCCTGCTTCCAAAATTGGAGGGCTTATTCTTCAAGGTAGAGAATGAAGACCGAGGGAAAAGGTCAGATCTTGGCCTCCCCACACCCGTCCTCTCACAACAGGGAGCCACGGGCTTGTTAGAGAATGGCTTCCTGGAAGGAGAGGGCAGAAAACTATTAAGTACACTGTCATTGAGGTTGTGTAAGTGTGAAGTCAGCTCAATAGGCATGGACTGTGCCAGACTCTCTGCTCAGCACCGGACATGGTGACACGAACGTGCCGTGTCTGAACTCAGGCAGCTCTCAGTGGTGTGTGAGTTTGGGGCGGGGGAAGGGGGTGCAGACAGACAAGTAAAGACGTGCTGTGGTGTATACAGTAACACAATTAGGTAATGGGGTATTTGAACCTTACACAATTTATAAAATCTTTGCTATTTTTAGCTCAAAGCACAGTGATTTTTCTTCTTTAACCAAATCCTAAACCCAATTAAACCTCCAAAGTGTTAAACCTGAGCGGATTTTTTTTAAAGGAAGCCCTGGCTTCCCCATCTGTAAAATGGGTCTAATAATCCCCAACTCATAGGTTGCCATGGGGATGCAATGTGATCAGCCATCCAGGGCACCCAGCACGCTGTGTGTATCACAGGGTGTTAGTCTTTCTTCACTCAGCAGCCACCCGTTGACCTTCACCTATAGAAAAATGGAATCCCAAACTGTCCTGGGCCCTGATTATACAAAATGGTCAGCTCTCTGTGCAGGAGACCAACTCAGGTTTCTGTGGATCATGGGGATTTGGCTTGCCTTTACTTATTTTCTTTTTCTTGGGTATTGGTTCCAAGTCTCCTCTTGTTCAACCCCAGGGGTGGGCATTGGTGTTTCCTAGCATCCTGGCATGAGGGATGTCCGTGCGAGATTCTCCTCTTGCTGAGAAGATGGTGGCGGTAGCTGTGGGCAGCATCTCTGTCCAAGCTGAGCCTGGTGCGTGGTCAGAGCCCAGTGCGTGGGAAGCCACATTCTTCTGACCACACAGCTTGCCAGACACACGGAGCTCGTGTCGGCGGGAACACACCACCGGGAGAGTTTGGCCCGGGGCTTGGAAGTTCAATTTGAGGAGGTCTCCAAAACTGGGAACGTTGCTCTCGCCCCAGCTGAACCTCCAGGCGGCTTCTGGGAGCTCTCACGTTTCCTGCTTCCAGTCTGGCCAAGAGCAGGCGTGTTTGCAGGGCTTTCCTGCTGTCCGTTTCTGATCTCAGCCCGTCCAGCGGGCACGGAAGCGTATGGACACAAGGAGCAGTTGGGGCTGGGGCAGAATAAAGTAATTCCGTATTCATATTTCAGGGACTGTTCGACATCTTTTTTAATTGGCCATTTCTTAGAGCGTCGAAGACCAGCCCCATTGCAACCTTGTTGAATAGATTGATGAGACTCTCTGCTTCATGTGCTAGCCAGCCTTTGCCAGTAACCTGTGTGAACGCTTTTGATGGGGGTGTTTGCTTACTTCTGTATACCTTACTTCTTCCCAAAATAAGGGGTGATGCCTGGGGACCCTAATTACCATGTGTCATGATGAAATCTTGGTATATTAAAGTGTAACTAAAACAACAGCTTACAAAAGCATATCATTTGTAGAAAGGAAAACAAAAGTCAGAATACCTAGATCTTTTTGAGACCAAAGAGTATTGCGATGATAAATTAGCTGTTCTGTAGCAAGCATTTCAGCATTTAGTCCTGATGTATGTGACAAACACAGGCTGAGCCCTTTGTGCGGGCCAGGTGCTGTGACGGCGTGGACTGAGGATACAGATAGGTGGGCATTGGTCACGAGAGGCCAGGCAGGGACATGATCGGTTATTTCAGAAACATAAGCCCATGGGAAGTGTAGAAGGTGCAGTAGGGCTCCGAAGCACAGAGACCCACTAGCAGGCAGTGGGGCAGGGGTGGGCACTGATGACCACCTGGACTGAGGGAGTAGCAGTGGGAGAGCAGTTCTGGGGACAAATTGGAAATTACTTGGAGTTGAAACGAACAGGACCTGGGAAGAGAGTGTGAACGGTGCCGGCGCACAACTCTCTGATGAAGAGAGACAGAGGGTGAGAATGAAGGGAGTAGAAACCTGGAATTTGAGATGTCAAGGGGACATCAGTATGGGAATGTCCCATAGCCTGCTGATAATGAGAACCCCGGTCTCAGGAGAGAGGTCAGGATGGAGACAGGAATTTGCGAATACGCGAATGCATCTAAGAACTGACACCGTGAGGATACACGGAAATACACACATGTAACGGGGCGGCTGCTCTGCTTGGAGGCTCCAAGGAGGAGGAGGGAGCCAGCCAGGGTCTGAGAGGGGTGGGGAGAGAGGGAGAGAACGAGCTGGAAGGAGGAGGGGGTGGGGAGAAACTCAGCACAGGGCAAGTTTTCAAAAATGGGCAAGAGATCGGCAGCGTTCGCAGCAGCAGAGAGGGAAACACCGAGGGGCTGGAAGAGGTCGTGTGGGCCTAGCAGGTGAGAGGTTCCTCCTAAACTTTAGGAGGGGCAGGGGTGGCAAACAGGCTCGAATGTCTAAGCAGTGACCAGCAGGTGAAGCAGATGTGATGTTGGAATTCAACCAACTCTTCTGGCAATTTGTCTGTGAAGGCCAGGGGGGGCTTGTACTGAGATAAAAGGTTTTAGGATGATCTACTTGCATCCGTATGTATCTGAAAGGAGGACACCAGTGTGGTTGGGCAACTGCAGATAAGAGGGATTGGGGTTATTTAGTCTGCCTTTGCTCTTCACAGTGATCGGTCCGTTTATTTATGTATTC